GCGCAGCAGGGGTGTCGTGGCGGTGGCAAGCGCTGCAACAGGTAGACGGCGAGAGACGGACCCCGGCCGCGGCAGGTGTGTAGGGGTGCGAGGCGGGGCGCCTCTCCCTGCGCGGCGTACGGCGGCGGCGCGGAGCGTGCACTTTGCAGGGAAAAGTGGCTGCGTAATCCGGAGGCACAGTCAGTATGGTGCTGTGTGCTTGTTTTGTTTTGGTTTTCCCACTTTTTTCTCCCCCCTTTTGGCCGCCAGAGGACTATTTTGGGAAAGTTTGGCCACTTTGAATAAATGCCCTCTAAGAGCAGCTCTAACCGACTCCGGCAGTGGGAGGTCTCCCACCCTTTCCTTGTCCCAAAGATAAATTTCGGATCATTTTCCCTTCTACGAATTTTAAAGGACGTTTGAATAATATTTCTTTGCTCTGTCAATTGCGGAAGCTTCCAAATCTCAGCCCGAGGTGTAGCGGAATAAGGGCAGTTGAAGGAGATACAGATCCTGACAGCCCCTGCGTAAAAGGGGCTTTGGAAATTAGTGCGTTTCCCGTTCCCTGGTTTTCTCCAAACTCTTGTGAGAGGCTGTGCTTTCTGTGTCATCAGAATTGTAGGGGCAGAGAAGGGATAAAGCTTTTTTGGGTGGCATCCTTAACCTGCCGAATTTTAGGTGCGTGGCTTTTCCTACCGAACTGCAAGAGATCAGGTTCAAATCTTAATGGGTTATGACACCATCAATTTTGATTATTTTTATAACAGGAGAGTCAGAAAAACAAACAGCTGAATTTTAAAGGCACCGAATTGGCTTGTTAATGCCTTGTATCGCCATTTCTCCAGGTGCTATTATTGACGATATGGATATAGTTAGGATAACAGCGGTGTCCATCTGTGAAATCCTGCCCTGAAGTTTTAATTTTATGTTTAACATCAAGACATATTCTTATGAAAATACTTGAGAAGTTTTGAAAAAAAAAATACCCAGATCTAAAGTAGAACTTTTTTTCCTTAAGGAAAGACAGTTTTGTTTGGGGATTTTGAGACGATCAGGTGGCTCACTGAATTAGGTGAGTGAATAGAAATCCAGTGTGCTCAATTCTAACTGGTTCTCCTGCTTTCTTAGGTGACCTTGGGCAGGTTGTTTTTTTTTTTCATTTACCTCACCTGTAAAAGAGGAAGGTGGTAGTTCTGAAGAGCAGAATGACAGAAAAATAGTTACAGTGCACTTTTAAAACTCTGCAACCTAGCAATGACTAAAATTCTTATGCCTTAGTCTTTGACATTCCTTATTTTGGTGAAATAACTAGAAAATGATGCCACTGAAACGTGACTGTTCTGGGGAATATTAAAATTGAAACAATTTTCAGATATCATTGACATGGATCTTTAATATTCCGGGAGATGGACCTTACTTCCTTACAGAAAATTGCAATTAAACATGGATTATAAAAGATAAAATTTAAAAATAGTGCTTGCAGGCATATACATGGTTTAAAGTAGAACCTTTCCTACTGATATGAATGTCCTTTATATTTCGGGGAGGTCATTTATATTAGAATTAAAGATTTATAATGGTTTTTCCCTTTGTCCCAAAAGTCTCTTGTATCCACTGGGAGGCATACAAGCCTGATTTTAATCAAGATATATAGATATCTGCGTCCTTTTATATTTAGTGACTAAAACTTTACCCTCTAGGTATCAAGTTCTATGAAGATCATACTTATCAACTAGTATTTTCAGTGGATATTCCAGTTCTGCTCAAGCTCTGGTTATGTTAATTCTAAAGACATCTTGGGGTTCCCTGGACAACATGGGAAATACATTTCTAAGCTGATAAATTTGTTTATAGAAAAAGGCTAATAAAAATAATAGGGAGAAGTCAGCATACCTCAATCCTATTTTCTTATAAAGGTCTGATTTGAAGAATGTTTGCAGTGGAAGTCATGCAGGTGCTAAATGTCCATTCTTTGGTGTTTGCTGCCAACCTTTACTCTGTTTCCTTTGTTGAAAGTGCATGAGGTTGGTATATGGCAATACCTTAGCTAATTTATCTTTCCAGCAAAGCCTTTGGCAGATTCTTTAATGATAGTCCTGTCAGTATCATGGTGAAGTGCAGGCTGCTTTATGATATTAAGAGAGTGCAGGGCTTATGAAATAGGACTTGGAAAGTTGTCACCAGCTGTCTGATGCTGGCTGATAAGGTGCTTCCTTGTACAGTGCTTTCAGGGAGCTCCGGGTCTCACTGTGTCCCTCGCAGGTTTCCTTCAAGTCTTGTATAGCTTTGCAGATCTGGCTTATGGATTATGCTTTAGGGCGAAGTGAGGAAAAGTGTCCCTCAGCATACTGTTAGGAGGTGTTTTGTGAAAAAAGGGGTGCAGCAGCCAAATTATCTAGAGGATGCTGGATTAAAAAGTAAACTCATTTCTGCACTGTAGAATCTCCCAGGGGTTTCATTATGGCAGCTTTGCACTGTGAGTCTCAAAAAAGCTAGTATCCACCCTTCTTAAGAGACAGTTGGGAGGGTGGCTTTTTGGAGGGGTCTTGGTGGGGATCTCCCTTCCTACTCGGGGCAGAGAGCACTGTTGCCTACAGCCAAGGGCGATGGAGGCTGTAGCTGTGGGAGTCAGGTGTGTCACCGGAGGCCTCTGGTAGGGGGCAGGGTACCTGTCGGGCTATGGGGTGCCTGGATGTGGTGCAGTGACCCAGGAGAAGGAGTTGAGTTGGGGTAATGGAGCATTGGATACATACGGGTTGCCACTGGAACACACATCTCCGTATTTCTTGGTATGTTTAATTTATATCTGAAACATGTATACCTTAATATACGTTCTTTCATCTTTGGTGTGGGGAGGACAGAATATTCTTGGATAGACTTTTTTTAAAAAAACATGTAATATTTGCTGTGCTTTTCCTCCCCATAGCTAGGACTAAAAAAAAAAAATTTTTTTTTTTTTTTTTTTTTTTTTTTTTTGTAAAGCAGAAATGTCTAGTATTAGCCATTTGGGTTCCAACATGCTGCTTTTCCCCAACTTTTAATTGGCTTTTCCCCATAACGGCTTTTTTTTGGGGGGGGTACGTGGAATTAGCAGCTAACTACCTCCACCTTTGTAATTTGATTTATTTGTCTCCTGTTTTGTGATTGATTTTTGATTAGGAATTCATAGAATAATGTTCTTTTGAGTAAAAGCATGCAATGTAATGGTAGGTTTTAATGTTCTCAAATTGAGTATTGATTATAGTATAATAGTTTAACATTTTTTATTTGCACTTTACTGTCCGTCTGGGACGTGGTGGTGAAAATTGATAGCTTCTGCCTTGTCAGAACTTAAAATCTCGCTCAGAATACAGAAAAGTAAGAAGTAAATTATACTCAAAATATTTGGACATTAAATTTCATTAATAGATCCTTGAGCTGTTTAATGCTAGTTTACTAAGTAGAGCCATTATATTTTCCAATGTCAATATAAGTTCTGTAGCAAAAGACCATTTGAAGATCACTTTTTAAAGAGGGGAAGGTAAGGAGGAGGGAAGTAGTCAGTGGCAGAAAGGGCAAAGGGTTAGAGGCCTAAAGCACTTCTTTCTTCTTCACAGAACTACTGTAGAATGGCAGGACCTCTCTAGGATTACAAATTGTTTATAGACTTGGACTATGCATGCTTTTATTTTTATTACGTATTTATATTTGTATTTATTTATTTAATTTATTGGCAGTACTGCGGATTGAACCCAGGGTCTTCACACTGAGCTGTATCCCCAACCCCTTTTAATTTTTTGAGACAGGGTCTTGCAAAACTGCCCAAGCTGGGCATGAACTTTTGATCCTTCTGCCTCAGCCTCCCAGAATGCTGGGCTTAGTGCCAGGATAGACATTTTTTTTTTCTAGACATTTTAAAATGTGTACATAAAATTTTACTGCAAATGCATTTGTTTTCTGTTAATATGTTTCTTTAAAGTGCCGGGGTTGATTTAAAGTTTAAAGGGAGTAGGGATGATTTTGCACCCTGGAAGGCGTTTGGTATTGTGGACAGACAATTTTCATTGTGGCAGCTGGGGACGGGGAGAGCTCCTGATGTCTAGTAGGTCAGGGAGAGTGCTGAAGGCCTTGCTGCGTACAGGGTGAAGCGGGACAACAGAGCACTTTCTGGTCCAAAACAGCCACAGTGCCAAGGTTGTGAAATCCTCAGAGACCTGGGATCAAATTCCAGCCCTGCCATTCAGTTCCAGGGCTAGTGCCTCAGTTTCCCCACTTGTGTTATTTCGACACTACTTTCCCAAGCTGTCTAAGAGTTGTTTGTAAGGATTGATGAGTGTGAATGCTTTGTAAAGCTGCATTGATTGACTTATATAGCGCATGAGAATTACATAATCGTAGCCTGTTATGATTTGTCTGTGAAGTAGGTTGGTAGGTTAGAGCTAATGGATAGGAGTGTACATCTAAAAGGATCCAGGGCTCCTTGAGGGCAGGGACTGCTCCTGTTTGTTTATCATGGCAGATTTAGTGACCGGTCTTAGGCCTAGGATACAGCAAGTGCTTGATAAGTATCCTTAGTTTGTGCTGTTGGTGATGAAACCATGTGCTAGCGGGCCACTCTGCTATTGGTAAATATTGTTGAATGAATGAATGCTTACGTTTCCAGGACCCCGCTCAGATTTCCTGTGTTTGTTATTGGGTGTAGAAATGTCTGTCTGTTGTTGGGAGTCCGTTTTAGCAGTGTTACCACCCTGTCAGGAGCTTGGCAAACTCTTGGGTGGTGCTGAAATACAGAGAAGGGTCCTGGTGGTCCTGCAGCCTCTCAGATGCATCTGCATGTAGACCATCCTCATCAGAACACATCAACCTTTACTGTTCAGGCTTGCCGTAAAATTGTCTCTACCACTAATCTACCGTAACTCTTATTGCTTTAAATATAATTCTTCACTTACTTTCCCATGACAGCTCGCTTGCTAAATTTGTATTTGGGAATGGTAACTTGGGCTACATTTCCATATAGTTTTTAACAAGGCCATCTATGTATTGGATCTGGGAGGCAGCTTCTGTTTGACCAAAAGACTCCAAACTCTCTGGAGTCCGAAGATCCAGTTTTAAACCTGACTTTGTCAATGTGTGTTTGACTCTGAACAAGTTCCCCACATCATTAAGTCCTCAGTTTCTCCTCTGACTGCTTTTTCAATCCCCAGGATTCCTTTGAATATTACTTCATATTCCTGTAAGTAAACATTTGTAAATATGCTTTGCAAATTCTGAGGGCTGTCTTCAATATGTTACTTTTCTTTGGATGCAAAATAGTTTTATTTAGTTGCTTATTTTGGCTTCCGGACAAGTTAGAGTCAATTTTATGTTCTGTCATCACCTAAGAAGGTGAGTAGTGTGTGTATTTGTAGTTCAATAAATGAAAGTTTAGAATGTCTTTCAGTGTATTACTGCTATTACAGACTAACTTTGTAATGCAAATTTATTTGCCAGCTATGGAGACCAAAGGCTACCCCAGTCTCCCTGAAGGTCTAGATATGGAAAGACGGTGGAGTCAAATCTCTCAGGCTCCAGAGCATTCTTCCCTGGGCCCTACAGAGAGGACCGATGAGAATAACTACATGGAGATTGTCAACGTAAGCTGTGTTTCCGGTGCTATTCCAAACAACAGTACTCAAGGAAGCAGCAGAGAAAAACACGAACTACTCCCTTGCCTTCAGCAAGACAGTAACCGGTCTGGGATTTTAACATCTGACATTAAAACTGAGCTGGAATCTAAGGAACTTTCGGCTACTGTCGCGGAGTCCATGGGTTTATACATGGATTCTATAAGAGATGCTGACTACGCCTACGATCCGCAGAACCAACAAGGAAGCGTGAGTCCAGCAAAGATTTACCACAATGTAGAGCAGCTGGTGAAATTTTACAAAGAGAACGGCCATCGCCCTTCGAACCTCAGTACTGTGAGCAGGCCCTTGAGGTCCTTTGGGTCCGACCCGGGGAGCTCCGTGAATGGTGGGGTCATGCGCGCCATTGTTAAGAGCCCCATCGTGTGTCACGAGAAGAGCCCCTCTGTGTGCAGCCCTGCTACAGTCAGCTCGGTGTCCTCCTCCACAGCTAGCTTTGGCGGTTTCTCAGTGCACAGCCCCATCACCCAAGGAACTCCTGTGACATGCTCCCCCAATGTTGAGAACCGAGGGTCCCGGTCGCACAGCCCTGCACATGCTAGCAACGTGGGCTCCCCTCTCTCAAGTCCCTTAAGTAGCATGAAATCCCCAGTTTCCACCCCTCTGAGTCACTGCAGTGTCAAATCTCCAGTCTCCAGTCCCAATGTCACTCTGCGCTCCTCTGTGTCCAGCCCTGCAAATCTTAATAACTCAAGGTGCTCCGTCTCCAGCCCTTCCAACACAAATAACAGATCCACGCTTTCCAGTCCGACAGCCAGTACAGTGGGCTCCATCTGCAGCCCCATAAACAATGTCTTCAACTACATTGCTCCTAGCAACTGTACTGGAGCCGGTGCAACCCGGGATGTGACTCCCAGTCCGGACACACACGAGAAAGGTGCTCACGAGGTCCCTTTTCCGAAAACCGAGGAAGTCGAGAATGCCGTCTCCAACGGTGTGGCGAGCCAGCTCAACATCGTCCAATACATCAAACCAGAGCCAGATGGAGCTTTTAGCAGCTCGTGTCTAGGAGGCAGTGGCAAGATGAATTCTGAGTCTCCATTCTCTGTACCAATAAAGCAAGAACCCACCAAGCATTCATGTTCAGCCACCTCTTTTAAAGGGAATCCAGCGGTAAACCCATTTCCATTTATGGATGGCTCCTATTTTTCCTTTATGGATGATAAAGACTACTATTCTCTGTCAGGAATTTTAGGACCACCTGTGCCAGGCTTTGAGGGCAACTGTGAAGGCAGTGCATTCCCAGTGGGGATTAAACAGGAACCAGAGGACGGGAGCTATTACCCGGAGGCCAGCATCCCTGCCTCTGCCATCGTTGGTGTGAATTCAGGTGGGCAGTCCTTTCACTACAGGATTGGTGCTCAAGGTACAATATCTTTGTCACGATCAACTAGAGACCAGTCTTTCCAGCACCTGAGTTCCTTTCCTCCTGTCAGTACTTTAGTGGAGTCATGGAAATCACACGGTGATCTGTCGTCTAGAAGAAGTGATGGGTATCCAGTTCTAGAATACATTCCAGAAAACGTATCAAGGTAAGTTGATTTTTTCCCTCATTTTTCTCTTTTGTTCTTCTGAAAAGGCTCTCCATGTAAGTTGAGAAATTTAAACAGGTTTCAGTGTATTTTTGGTTTGGTTTGGTTTTAAGGATAATCCATGTCCCCTCTTTGTACAGTGGTATTGCTTTTTTCAAAGCAGAGGAATAAAAAATTCTTACACTCTCTTAGGTAATGCCCATGTGGACTCTGAAGGAGAATATATAGGTGTGCCGCTATTGTCGTTTTGGGTGTTTGGAAAATATTTGTTTTCTACTGCCAATTACTATGTTTACTTTAGCAGACGAGGGAAATAGTTTTGGTGTTTGTTTTTGTTTTTTTTTTTTTTTTTTTTTTTTTTTTTTGTTTTTTTTTTCTTTAGCTGTTTGCAGGCTCAATGAAATTACATCAAACTACTTTGTGGTCTTAGTCTCTTATCCTTTAGCTTTCCTTATTAATTACATAATTGACTATGGAAAAATAAAATTGGACCCCAAACTTGCTACCCACAAGCTCCTCTCTTTCCCACCCTTTTCTGCGTAGGTTAATTATACGAAACTTGTGGTTTTTCAATGTAAATAAATCATTTCCTTAATTGTTGAGAACTTTTAAAGGCTTGACCCAACTAAAATTACTCAGTGGACAATCTTGCTTTTTTAGTCATGTTGGAAAGTAAACATATCACTAAGGTATTGAATCAATATATTTACAACTTTTTAGACCTGTAAGAAAACATACTTATCAACTGTAAAATATCTCTTGGCTTTCCTTTTTACAGTTAGCATGTTGTATATATTTAGAAAAACAAGGAAGAGGTTTTAGTTATGAGTATAAAGGGTGGTTCTAACTTATGCAATGACTACTTGCACTGGACTTTGCTTTAGTACTGTTTTATTACATAGATGTGATAAATGATTCCTTGTGGATATATAAAGAATACATTTTCTACATACAGTTCATTCCTGTGGTATCTAAGGATACATATTTATTTTCCTCCATTTACTTAAAATTTTATTTTGTGGGAATTGTGTCCATCCTGTTAACAGGATCCACATCGTGGAGTTTATTTTTCTGTACGTCTTTCTTCCTTACTCTTATATTTTCCAAACAAAAACAGAAACTTTCAATTTGTGTGTTCTTTTCCTTATCACTGGCTCAAAGCTTGCTCCTCTTGCTTTTATAGAATCACCAGGTATAGTTCCACCAGGTATTCATTGTTACAGTTCACTCATAGCTTGAGCTCTTCAACCAGATCCTAACGCTTCTCTTAAATTCCAAACGCTTAACACATGTCACAAGGTAGCTCGGCTGTTATCAGAAACTCAGCATGTTTTGCTGGTAGCACTTTAATTTACTTTTGGAGAAGGAAATTTTTTCAAGCAGTGTGGATATTTTTGTGATAGTTTTACGTGGTCCGAGAGAGAGTAGACTGGTGGCTAAGGGAAACTCTGCCCTGGCTCCAGGCCTTCTACTCACGGGCTCCTCTCCTGTGTTCATCTCTTCACCTGTGCTGTAGTTTTATTATCTGTCAGAAGTGCATGAATCTGAACTACTTTCAAGGTAGTTAAAACCATTTATGAGTTAGTTCATCTGAATTACTGAAACCAACCTGGTATGTTGGTGATCATTATCTTTTACTTGTTTCAGAGTTTTATAATATTTTCATTTGCCTTATTGTTGTAAAGAAAAACTTATGAACTTAGGTTTTTAACAAGAAATATTTGAAATGTTTAAGTACTTTTGCAAGAGATGCTTGATAATTTCTTACTAAACTGATTTTTTAATGGTGAGTGCCCCATGTTTGATACTATAATTCCATTTGTGCTTTTCTATTTCCAGTTGTGAAGTCTGTAGCTTTGGGTAATGTTGCTTTTGGTAGAAATTTTCGAGCTATGCTAACTAAAATCTTTAATGCTTATGCTTATTCTATATCATGTTTTTACTGTTTTAATTGGAGCTGTCATCCTTAATTTATGCATCTGCTCCTGACTCACCAGTGACCCCATTGACCTTGAAGCTATCCTGCATCTGTATGCACTGTCCCCTCGTGTGAATCCTAGAACTCTTTGTGTAGGTGATATAGTGGAAGGAAATACATGCTCTGTTTGCATATGTACTGGTTTGTGCCATTTTAGCTTTTCACGCATTTTAATGCCAAAGCTTTAATGTTATTTGAAATCTCTTATAGATTAATAATTCTTTACACCTTTTCCTAGTATTATTCAAGCCTGTTTGTTTTTTTATTCCAGAAATAAAGGCTCAAAGATCAAAATCCTCTTAGATCTTTCCCCAAATTTCAGTATGTGTGCTATAATAATATTACAATTTACCTTCATCCAGGCCTCGTCATTGGTCTCTTAATTTGTATCTTTTAGACCAAAATCCAGCCCTTTTGCCTGTTTCTTAATATCTGATGATCATATCCCATTTCAGGTCATGATAAATAAATTAATAAATTAAATATTGTAAAGGGTCAATACGTACATGCTTCTATTTTTAATAGTGTCCTTTATCCTTAAGTAGAACTGTATAAAGTATTTTCTAATAAATATAAAATTTTGGCGTGGGGGTTCCTGAGACATTTTCAAAGAGATTCATGGATTGGTAAAAGATGCACTCAAAATGGAAAATAAAGCATTGGGGATAAAGCATTTTATGTAATAGTTTATGAAAAGCTCATTGATGTTGTTTCAGCCTCCATATCACAACCAAGCTTTAAGAAAATACTGTCATTTGTTAGTGTAGAATTAGATCTGCAGTGGTCGGAAGAGACCATTAAAACATTTTTCCTTTTCCAACAACATACCTACGTGAGGCCAGATTTTCTTCACATGCTTGAAGCAAAACCTGTCATACACATTGAATGCAGAAGTAGAAAGAGAATCTAGCTATCCTCTAGTAAGCAAAATAATAGTCTTACAAAAATAACACATTCACGGACATCTCACTGAAAAAAACTGAAGTTTTTCATTTGGGGAAATAGTTACTTTTTCATAAGTGTGATGTTTAGCATGGAATGAGTTATTTTTAAAAAAGCTAAAACACTAGTCTTAATTTAGCCATAATTTGCATAAACTCTTTGAAGTGGATCCTCAGTACTTAAGAGTGCAGAGTGCAAAGGTTTTCTGAGACCCGGGAGTTGAGAACTGCTGGTCCTCTCTGTTCTGTACCCTTTTGGGAGGTTCGTGGAGAAAGAGTGTATTCTCTGATTTGTGTTAGACTATTCAAATAAGAAAAAGACTGTCACCTAGATTAATTTTTCAAGCTGATGGATGTGACTAATGGCTGGGAGGTGTGTGTTGTCTTTATTCCAGTGCATGGGCATTCTGTAAAAGCGGTGACGAAAGTCACCTGGCTGTTAATAATTCCCAGTGAAGGGATTGTCTGCACACCAAATTGTAAAGTAAATTATGACAAAGCTAAATGTAAAGCCCTCAGGGTGGACGCTGGACCTAGTTGTGTCCTGTTGATCGGACTTGGCCTGTCAGCTGAGGCACAAACAAAACTGACTTTCCATGACTCACAATTCTCGGCCTCAGGTTTCTTCACTTAAAAGTTGAACTCAGTGCTCCGTGAAGTCACCAGCCAAACGACTTGAGTACTGGGTACTTAGCTTCCAGTGAGGAATCAGAATCAGGCATTCCTCATTTGCTACTCTGGTTTCAACTGTTTTTATTCACAAGTTTCACTCAGTAGTTTTCATGGCAGTCTGGCTAGAAAAATGTCATTACCATTTACTGTTCTAAGGTAAAAGTGAGAGGAAGTGGAACTACCATTTTACTTAAACTGAGTAGTTGAATCTTTTTTAAGAGTAGTTTATATCTGTGATGCATAATAGTTACACTCAGGTGGGGGTCATTGGAACATGCAAAAATCATATCTCGATCATTTTAAGTCCCCGTTCCTCCCTCACCATGGCTTAGCTTCCTGCTCCATCTATAGAAAATCTGCCTACCTTTTCCTGCCATCTCTAATCAGATCTTGCCTCCTCTAAAATGAACTTACTATGGATTCCTTCATCTCTTTATTGACACTATTCTTCATGGAAACAGGCTGTTTCTGTTGACATCACTGTTTATGGTGATAATCGTCATCATTCTGATAGTGCCACGACAGATGCTGGGATTGGCTTAGGCTTTTGAATTTAAAGTTCACCATTTCAAAGAGTATATCCTGGTTGGTAACACAAATAGTAGGTATTTATCTCAATTTGTGCTGATTTTTTTTTTCACGATAGACTAAAACAACTTAGTAAATGATGTATAGTTTTATTTTTCAGTTGTCCTCAACTTAACTAACTTTATATGATATATGAGAAGATTCAGAATTCAAGGAGCTGAAATATTTCCTCATATTGAAAGAGTAGTGGGTTTTACAGGAGTGTGCTGTGTGTTTGAGTGTTGCTTACTATAACAAATAAATGTACTATAGCATTTCTGCAGTCACTTGGGATGTAACATTTTTTCTTGTTATTTGTCTTACCATTTGATTCTGAAACTTCTAAAGTACCTAGAATTCCTCCAGCTCAGTATTAAAAATAACCCTGTTGAAATGATTTTAAAGTGAGCCTTGCTGCTCCTGTTGATTTCCTTACTTTCAGTTATGGTAGTTCTACGAAGAGTGGCAATAGATAATTTTTTGGAGGGAGATAAAGCCCCCGTGCTTTTATATGTAAGATTCTATTTTCAGTGTACTTCTGGAAGTTTCTCTTTTAACGTCACAGATATTAACATCCTAAGATTAAATATTAGTATGTCCACATTTATTACCTAAAATGCTATTTAGAGCAATTTACTTCATACTTACAAAATAAAAGTTGAAATAAAATCCAGTTTGCATTAGATAAGTTCAAACTATTCCATATAAAGCAGTTTTTACACCTGTGCCTTGCTGAAACCAGGACCTGGAGATTTTACATTTATAGATTTGATGCCTTTGGTGATGTTGAGCTTCTGGGTGTGCCTGCCTTTTCCTGTCTTTGTAGTATCAGAGTAATAGCA